GGGGAGGCAATGGTGACGCGAAAAAAATTAGGCGCGGGAATTCAGGAGTGATCCAGTCATGGTTGGTTTTAGTTCTGCGTCTGATTGGTCCAGACAGTGGCGCGCGTGTTGTATACACCTATTACAGAGCGATCTATAGCAAAACTAATGAAACCTGACTAATCTCAGAAATAGCCAGTCGCATCAAGAAAACACAACAAACAGCTAAATTGAACCCCAAACTGAGCAACAACGAACTTGTAACTGTGGTAGGGCTTTCGTGGAAAATAAGATAGCTCTCTCCCTTATTGGAAAAAAAAAAAAAAGGCTCACATCTTTTCGCATCGTAAAATATTTCCGTCGGCAAGGGGAGAGCAAAATTAGGCAATGATTGATATTTTGCGTTTTTATTTATCCGAGTAGAAACTACTTCTTGCAAAATACACACCACCAAGTGGCTCAGGTGCATCTTGGGCCCAGTAAGTATTTTTTTTTTTAATAAGCAGTTCTCTTCGCTTATGCGCTATATGCGCAAGGTACACGGCCTTCTCAAACCCTGAAATAGTATTTATTATTAAAGGTTGGACCAAATCCCCTATACCTTGTCAAACTCCCAGTGACCTGAGTAACTGGCTCCGTTAGAGTATTTCATTTGTCCTTTGCCATGTCTCAAACCTAGCATCCATTCTCCTATAAAAATTGAAAACAGTTCCAAATTGATTCAACGACAAAATTGTAAGAAGTAAAACATACTAAACATTTTGTCAATGCTTTCTCATATCTTTGGGGGGGAGGGGGGGGACTCACGTCTCTAAGGGTGACGTATACCATAAAAATTCAATTTTAATTCAAATTTAAACATATCAATGAAGACAGTATGTCGTAGTTTCCTGATGTTTCTCATTGGATTTGGAACCATCCATGGCTAATTGTTCAACGTTAATATCCATTTTATCATGTTTTTTTCACCAAATTACATAACCACGGGCGGTTACTACTTGTTAAACGGTTTGTACATTTTCACTTTTATGTAAAAACTGCTGGAACATTTTCATAAAACCCACCTTCATACATGCTCTTCTTGTCGCTGTACATCATTTTACCTTTTCCGTGGCGCTAATAAAACAAAAACCATAATTAACGATCAAAGTTGCGACGTGACGAGATAAACAAAATCAACGATACTAACAGATTCAATTGTCAAAGAAGTGGTCAGACTAGTTACCAGTCCATTGGCCCAACAGCCTTCATACACTGATCCGTCCTTGTAGGTCATCTTTCCCGTTTTACTGCGCAAGTCATATTCAAAAACTCCCTCGTAAATATCACCATTGCTGTACTTCATAACTCCCTGACCAAACCGCTGTAAACATTGACACACAAAATCATTACGGATACCAAAAGGTTCAAACTGCGTTCAGTGTGCCAGTTTTTTATGATCAAAGAGCAAACACGCGACTCTTCGCTAGGCCGCTATGTTTGACTTCGGTTAAGAATGGACAGAGAGGGAGAGTGGTAGGGAAAACCAAAGACAAGAAATGTATTTCTCGAGCCCCTTTACCAAAACCCTCGCTTTCATGTGACCTATCCTGCGACCCCNTGCCTGTGATATGATCTCCACTCCAACCTCCCAAGTAATGAGTTCCATCTGACCTTCTGTACTCACCGTACCCTCCCCGCTACGATAAATCAAAACCAAGACCAGATTAACCTTCTGTACTCACCGTACCCTCCCCGCTAAGATAAATCAAAATCAAGACCCGATTAACCCTCTGTACTCACCATACCCTCCCCGCTAAGATAAATCAAAACCAAGACCAGATTAACCTTCTGTACTCACCGTACCCTCCCCGCTAAGATAAATCAAAATCAAGACCCGATTAACCTTGCGTACGAACAACACTTGAAAGATGTAGAGGGCCCTGTGTTCTGGATGGCTTTCCGAGCAGGCGAGAAGAAAACTTATTCAAAGAAAGATGGAAAAGGTGGAAATCAAGAAATTGAAGATGCATGTGCTGTGAACGGATCCTGATCACTGACCTGATTGTCCATCCACTGTCCTTTGTACACGGAGCCATCAGCATAGTGCATCTCTCCTTGCCCACTGAAACGGTCATTAGCAAACTGACCACTACAAACAGACAAACAAGAAAACAACAGGCAAGTCCATGACGGGTCACATTACACACAGACGTTGGAGCATATTACATTTCACTGCTTCTGGATGGAAGGATGACAATCTAGATTATCACAGCTTTCCATGAGCATTTTAGCATATTTCCTTGATAATTTACTGGTGAGTCTTCCTTGATCTGGACCTCGGCTCTGTGAGTCAGAAGCAAAGTGTCCCTCATAAGATCACAGAGCAAGAACCCTGGCCACCAACCCGCTTGACTAGCATATCAGCCAGCAGTAGAGCTGCCTTCACCAAGATAATCACTTCTCTTAAGGTTGTTAAAACGTCTGTTGTTTTCAAAAAAACCTTCCTTTCATAACTTAATTCTCGCGGTCCGTGAAACTGTACGACTGTTGGTTCCCTTTAAGTCGCGTTTTAGAACATAGCTAGCAGAACCGCGCGATCAAATTCAGTATACGTAAGCGTGCTCAAAATCCCGATAGTGCACGCTGATAGCGTCAGCAAATCGCTTCGCCAAAAATTTTTTTTTTCGCGTGAGCGGCCATTGTTAGCGCGGAGAAAAATAATATATTTCGCGACAATAATGGATACAAACAGAGATTCGGCCTACTAGTCCCAAAACGAAGACAATTTTTCGACCTTTTCCTTCGTGCTAGAGTTCTTAAATGAGGCAGAAAAAGAGAAAAACAACGGAAAAGGAGACTTGGCATCAGCGCCGTCACGATTCGCTTCAATTAATATTTTTGTCCGTTCTTCGCGTCGGATTTGATGCATAATTCCACCGGCTATGTTCTAAAACAATTGGTTCATGCTTTCAGCTGTGCACTATCGAGTTATGGAGCATGCGGGAAGTTTGGAGAGCACTCAAGAAGCTAGAGTTGCCCTCGGCTATTGCCTCGGGCAACTCTTACGCTTCTTTCGTGCTCTCCAAACTTCCCGCGTGCTCCATAACTCGATAGTGCACGCTAAAGCATGAACCAATTGTTAATTAAAAGGCTGAAGAGTAGTCATTGTTAAGCAAAGCAAAGCAAAGTAAGGCAAGGCAACCATGTTTAAGAAAAACATAACCCCTCTCCCTCCCTAACATTTCCTTTTCTTTCTTTTCCCATTCATTTTCCACAGTTACATGAAATCTGATGATAAAAAAATTCAAAGTAAGTATTATGTTAGTGTAAAAGCAGCCTCTAAATTCTTGTTGCACCTCACGTGGCGAAGCCCGTGGGTTTCTCATCAGCGAACGTGCGAGAGGTCGCGCACACTTCCTAAGATAGCTCTAATTTCGCGGGCTCTGTCACGTGCTTCCTATGGCGAATAAGAACCTGCTAATAGGAGCTGGCGAGCTTCTAATTTGACCTAATTTCACTTTCATTTGAACCTTATCATTCATCATTTCCACTCACCTGTACACGTCACCATTAGTAGACTGCATCGTCCCTTTACCATGTTTCTGCGGAAAGGATAAATACGATAAGGAAACTGCCTTCCTACTGACTAAAAATACATGGAGACTGTAGACACACTAATTGTACATACATGACATCCCTAAAATACCGATGTACCCAAGCTGATGCATGAGCCAATAACAACAACAACATTTCTATTCAAAGTCGCTACCCCACTCAAACGAATATAAAACATTTAACATGCAATAAGCAAACACAATTGGGGTGTGTCAACACGAACCGTGTGCGACCCTCTTCATTGCGCCTTTATCAACAAAATGGATAGGAATGATACAACAAACTGAATGAAAACTCGGGAAATGTAAAAATATAGCAAGAAGAACCACCCTACAAAACAATCTAAACTATGCTCGTACAACAATGATTCCGTAAACGCGCTAAACCTTTCATATAGCAGCATGCAAAAACTAGGAGAAATTGATAACCCCTTGTCACTGGGTATTTAATTTGGAGGGCGTAGTGACGGTCGTAAGACGCAAATGTATCTAAATGACAACGTCTCAAATCTACATAGCCTACCGCTAATGAAGCGATTGTGACAGCATACCATGTGACACCCCAAAGAAAGGGTTACATAACACATTGTCTTAGGAGAAAATCCCTCTGCTACGCTGCACTGAATACAGACAGCGTACACAATGACACGTGCACAAAGGGAATACGATGCACACATGCGCAGATGAATCTGACCACACAAATTTGCTGCGTAAGTCATTAGCACGCATGCGCAGATTAATCTAATCCCCCGGAAGTCACTGAATGAATGAATGAATGAAAGCCTTTATTTAAAGAGGGTAGCACTTAATAGCCACTAATAAACTTGTGGCCCTCACAGATTACACAACTATATACAATCAGATAAATATGTAAGCTAAAATATGTAAGCATTTAAAATAAGACAAGATTCAATTAAGAAGATATTATTAAATAGTAAAATGATGCAAACATTGTTGTTCTTTAAAAATCTTGGCAAACATGTTTTTTTTTTAAACGTGCTATAGAATCGTATATGTGCACGATCCTTCGCAGTAAAGCACTATTTAAGCAATAGTGAAAATCAGACCTGAAAAAAATTCAGGCCTGTACGGGATTCGAACTACTGACCTCTGCGATACTAGTGCAGCGCTCTACCAATTGAGCTAACAAGCCAACTGGGAGCAGGCCATCAAATTAATTCGACATAAACCCGTAGATGATAAATCAAACAACAAACATATGAAATACATATATATGAACTGCGGTTATGAAACGTATATGTGCACGATCCTTCGCAGTAAAGCACTATTTAAGCAATAGTGAAAATCAGACCTGAAAAAAATTCAGGCCTGTACGGGATTCGAACTACTGACCTCTGCGATACTAGTGCAGCGCTCTACCAATTGAGCTAACAAGCCAACTGGGAGCAGGCCATCAAATTAATTCGACATAAACCCGTAGATGATAAATCAAACAACAAACATATGAAATACCTATGAACTGCGGTTATGAAACGTATATGTGCACGATCCTTCGCAGTAAAGCACTATTTAAGCAATAGTGAAAATCAGACCTGAAAAAAATTCAGGCCTGTACGGGATTCGAAC